AATTTGTGGCTAGAATGTGCTGAGGCCCGTGGTCTTTACTTGCTTGGTAAGCGTTCTGTCAACCACTGAGAACCTCAACTGCTCTTGAGGTATGGAAAGTGCTAGTAGTATTTATAAAAACGTTAGGAAAGTTTTCATACATATACAACTATATTGAGGATGGTATATTTAATAGTATATTTTTCCTTTGCTTTCCTTCTGATGTATTTCAGTGCCATTTCACCAAGTATAGAGCAAATGAGAATAAACTTTAAAGTTGTTGATTATTACTTTATGCAGGTAGACTTATCATCACCTATCTAAGGCCTAATGTTTAAAGCAGAGTTGATTTTAAAATGAGTTTAGCATTAAAATTTTAGAATAGTTTAATTAAAAGTTGTAGAAGAGTTTATTGTGAATCTTCAATAAATATAAGTTTAACAATATTTTAGGACATAAAATAATTTGTGCTTTTTATTACATCTGACAGAATAAAAAGAATGACCACATTATTCCTATCAGAATAAAATAAATGAACATGTAAAAAATTTATGTTTCAAACTAAGAGTTTAGGGGGGAAAAGATAGCAATTTCATTAAGAAAAAAAGAATACTAGATATATAACTTATAAACATTTTTAAAAAGGCAATTTATAGTACCATGATTTATTTATTTTTATATTATTTTTGTGTCCTCAGTTTTTTATTTTTTTATTGCAAATATGGGTGAGGAAACATTTTAAATTGCAGAGGTTTCTTTTTTTTTTTTTAATTTTAATCTAATCACATGGCTCATCGATATAGTGGGAATTTAGCACCAGGATTATCTTTCAATTACATACCTGAAGCAACTGAAGTACTGAGTTCATTTAATGAAAGAATACAATAGAACTAAGTGATTTTTACTTTTGTGCAAACATTTTTTTAAATAGAACTATTATCTTGTGTCATAATTGTTTGAAAAGGTTTTACATAGTGCATTGCTATTAATGAATAGTCCATTATCAAGTACATTTCTATTAAGGATGTCAAAGCACATCAAAGCAGTCTGTTTTTACAAAAATATAATGCTTAAATTATTTTATTTCACTATAATTATTTTATAACATTTTATTTTTTCTCACTAGAAAATTACTTAGACACACGTGCCAGTTGGCTTTTATGATAATTAAACAAAAAATCCTGTATAATTACCTTCCCCATATGCAGAATCTTACTCTCTGTTTACCTCAAAAAATTTAAATGTAATTATAGATAATTATATCTTCTTACCTACTTTCTTAGATGAATTATATTTAGTATGGTATGAAGGGTTAGGCCAACTACAGTGCTGGACACAGTTCCTAAGACCATCCTCACTTCTGACACCAGCTGCAAGTTCAGGGGGTTGCCAAAACCACTTTCAGTTTCCATACTTCAGTAGAAGGGTCTCACGAAATTCCCTGAAAGCTATTATACGCATGGTGGTAGCTTCTTGCAGGAAAAGGATACAGACTAAAATCAACCCAGGGAAGAAGTACATAGGCTAGAGTGCAGGAAAAGTACCAGACAGAGCTTCCATTGTGTTCTCCCTGTGGAGTCAAAATGCATTACTATAAGATGAGTGGCAGTATGTGCAGAGGATTGCCAGCCATGGAAGCTTACCTAAGCCTTGATGTCCAGAGGTTTTACTGGGCTTCATCATGTAGGCATGATTGATTGATTACCCACATGATTAATCTCATTCTCTAGGTTAACTGATACCGCATGACCCAAAGCTCTTACTCTAAGTCACAATGTCCATCTTTGTGGCATGACCAGCCCCTACTCCAAGACTCTGCAGGTGTAGCTAATCCCCACCCTAAATCACACTTTTAGACTATCCAGTATGACTCAAGACCCGTGGACAAAGAAAGACGTTAGAGGATATTTTCTAGAGGCTGAGGGCAAGGGCCAGACCTCTCTTTGAGCAAGGCTGGATTTTTTTACTATGCAATGGGATTGGAAAACTTAGAAGTTTCAGTTTTCTTATATTTAACTACATTGTTTTCCCCATAAATTTATAAAATTTTCCTAAAACTTTTCTGTTTTCTCATGAAATTAGTGTATAAATATTTGAAATATATTACTCATGATAGTTGCTCTCGTGGAAATGGATAACAATACTTGTTTTCAATATAGCTATTTTTTCTTCTTTTTTTTCCAGAGGGCAGAAGAGCAGGACTACCTATTTTATCTTATAGCATTATCATTATCTTATCTGAACAAAACATGTGAAATTACTAAAAGAATGTTTAATAAAAACTTTTTAGATTATTTTAGGTTATAAATATTTATTAATTCATTTACTCAGGAGGCATTTATTGAATTTCTCTAGTATGTCAAATATTATATTATGTACTTTGTATGTAATAATAAATAAAACCTGAATTACAGTCTAGTGGAATAAATGAACAGCCACACAATTATAGCAGAAAGGGATAGTTACAATGAAGATGTTCAAAGGGCAGCATCTCACCCAGCCTCTGGATTCCAGAGAAGGGAGGAGCATCTGCAACGTGAGTTGAAGTTAGCAAGTGATGGAAGTGGGAGGTGGGCAATCCAGGCAATACAAGTGATATATACAAAGCTTTGCAGGTGGAGCACACAGCAAAGTGTAAGCTGTTGACAGTGGCTGGGACGTGGGAGGTGGGTACAGGGGTAGACTGAGGAAGTAACAATAGTGTGTACTTCATCCCAACACCAGGAAAAACCTTATATCTGTTTAGATTTAGGAAATACTGTCACTACCATGAGCTTGCTAACCTAATTCTGACTGTAGCTGAAAAGAAGTGAACGCGTATTATCTTGACAGCAGATGCCAAAATTCTTGATAAACAATTTGACTAGTTCATTCAAACAAGGTATATTTAAAGGGATTATGTTCTTGGTACCGTTTTGGTCCTGGGGATGCAACGCATAGAGCTGTGTACATATATCATACAGGGATGCAGTGCTAAACAAAACAGACATGTTTCTTCCTCACATACAACTTAAAATCTCCCACGGAGACTAACTTCAACCCCAATAACCACACAAATATTTCATGGCAATTGCAATGTGTAATATAGCATATGGTACAAAGTGCTACAGCAAAAGGCAGCAAGGGGACCTGGCTAGTCCACAGAAAATGGAATGGTTTGTTTGAGAAAATGATTTGAACTGGTATTGGGTGGGGCAAGTATTATTCAGGTGAAGGTGACAAGGGAGTAGGGTATGAGAGGTACGTATGAGTTGCCACTCCAGGAGAGGAAACACTGTGGAGAACCAGAGTTGGGACAGAACAGGATGCATTTGTGGTCCTATAAGGAGAATCTTCTTCCTGGAGAGCAGAGTGTGAGTGAGATGGCACACTAGGTGAGCTGGAGCATTGGACAGAGCCTTGAGAATGGAGCCAAGTTGGCCACTATAATGTTTATGGCTTTTGTCCCAAAAGGGGAGGTCTTAAATGTTTCAGTTTATTGGCTTTTATATAGGAGGTGCCCCACCTCCTACTTCCATCACTTGGCTAACTTCAACTCACATTTCAGTTGAGAATAGTTGCATTTTACTCATCCCCTCCTCCCTGCTCCCAGCTGCTTGATTTCTGATGAGTTTTATTTATTTCCATATGTGCACATTGGTGTTGTTCCATTAGTTCCAATTTAATGGTGAGTACATGTGGTGTTTGTTTTTCCATTCTTGCAATACTTTACTTAGAAGAATGGTCTCAAGTTCTATCCAGGTTAATAAAACAGGTATTAGCTCACTATTTTTTTATGACTATTACTCCATGGTATAAATATACCACATTTTATTAATTCTCTTATGTATTGATGGGCACTTGGGTTGTTTCCACATCTTTGCAGTTGTGAATTGTGCTGCTATAAACATTCAGGTGCAGGTGTCTTTTTTATAAAATGTCCATCTGTCTTCTTCTTTGGATAAATACCCAGTAGTGTGATTGCTAGATCAAATGATAGGCCTACTTTTAGTTCTCTGAGATATCTCCATACTACTTTCCATTGAGGTAGTACTAGTTTGCAGTCCCGCCAACAGTGTATAAATATTCCTATCTCTCTGATTCCGTGCCAGCATTTGCTGTTTTAGGATTTTTTGATAAAAGACATTCTTACTGGGGTTAGGTGACATCTCATTGTGGCTCAGCATCTGATGAGTAGAGATATTGAGTATTTTTTGATGTTTTTTGGCCATTAGTCTGTCTTCTTTTGAAAAGTTTGTCTTCATGTCTTTTGCCTTCTTTTTAATGGAGTTGTTAGACTGTTTTCCTTGCTGATTTGCGTGAGTTCTTTGTAGATTCTGGTTATCACCCCTTTATCATATGTAAAATTATATTGAGGAGATATTTTATCATCATAAGCAAAATTTCTTTAAGGCTCCTTCAAAAAATATATATTGAACACTCTTTTAAACACTGGGAATAGAGCACTGAACAAACAAAAATCCTTGTCCTAACGGAGCTTAGATTTTGGTGACAAAGTACCTGTTAGTGGAATAATACATTTTGATAGTTTCTGCAAACTTTTAGTACCTTTTTAAAATGATCTCTGGCACATTGTGAAATTAGTCAATTAGATCAGCTTTGTGAAACTAATTTAATTATTCTTCCTAGCCTTATAGCATTTATTTATGCTCATTGACATTTATCACTAAGATTATTAGACATTCATATTTCTCTTTAAAAGATATCAATGAAATAGTTTCATCCCTTGGTTTTCTATCAGTATAGCCCTCAGGATAGCTCTCTGATAATAGAAAATTAAAAATATTAGAGCTAAAAAAGAACTTATGCAGTGAATTCAGTCACTTTATTTTTCAGTTGAGAAACTGAAGTCCAGAGTATAAGTAACTTGAGCAAGGAGATACAGTTAGCATATCTAAAACAGATTCCTTTAAATGGTGTCATTTTGTTAGGGGAAAAAGTATACCTCTTGTCCCTTAAATGCCATGTGATTGGTGGAAAAAAAATATACTGATTTAAATGATTGCTGTTTTTGCTAACAGCTGGATTCCAATGGAGAGCTACTCATCCGAAATGCCCAGCTAAAGCATGCTGGAAGGTATACATGCACTGCTCAGACAATTGTGGACAACTCTTCAGCTTCAGCTGACCTTGTTGTGAGAGGTAAGAGTTTCAACATTTTAAAATTACAAAACCAAAGGTATCTGACTTGCGTAAATATGCACAATCTTCTGGTAACCCTGGTTCAAATTCTTATATATTTAAAGTCCCAATCCCATACCTAAGAATGAATCTTAAGCTTCTTAACCATGCCTAAAAATGGTTATGACAAACAAGGAGTAAACAACACTGATTTTGTTTGTTTTACTAACTACATATCTTCTACAAAGTTCTACCACATGCCTCCTACTAAATGTTTGTGCTTTTTAGTATTTACCAAAAGTCCTCATTTCCTGCTAATACGTTTTTAGTGTGTTGAATATAGTACTGTTTCCTTTTTTATATTTTTATAAAAAATTGATGATGTCTACTATAACCTCAACTGTTATATATTTATCACTTTCATCTTAGAATAAAAAGTTAATTTATACATGTGACATCTTTCTGTTTGTTACTGATTTTCAAATTGGTGTCTTTGTTCTTATAAATAATATAATTGAGAATGGGATGGGATACCCATTTATTGACAATACAACCCCTTTGCCATGCACTTCTGCTGTAGCAGTGAGGCCAGCTTGGAACATGTCCCAAATCTTGTTGAACATCATTAATCAGATCTTCACTCTGTTTATAGGATGAAGACCATTCCCTTTAGCTTAGCACCCAAGAAGTTCCATGTGTTGACCTCAGTCTGTTTATCTTTAATGTCTCATTACTCCTTAAAACCAACTCCAGTTGTCCAGCTAATCCACAAAAATACCCTAGTACTTCTGTGTCAGTTGATGATTCATAGCATTTCTTCCGTGTCCTTTTCTCACTGTTGACCCAATCTTATCCATCCTTCAAGGCTTGGCTCAAATATTACTAAGTTCATGACTCCTTGTCTGATGTTCCAAATGTGAGCTTGTCTCTTCAGAATTTTCATAATGTTTATTGCTGTCTCAATGTGTTTTATAGTAATCTATGCATGAGTTATATCCTCTACTAAGTTGGAAAATTTATATATGTATCCTTATTAATATTTTGTGAATTGCAGAGTTCCTTTGCATAGTTTCTTAACTCTCATTTTCTTTCTGTCTCAGTGTCATGTTAAAATTTCTATTTTTTTCACATTTTATCTACTAAAAATATTTATTCACCTATGTTTAATTGCATATTTTGCTGTCAATTTTCATGCTATCAGACAAATTAGTTATTTAATACTAAAACAATATCTGCCATTACTTTGTTTTAATATCCCTTCCATATCTGGGTCAATGTAATGTCACTCAATCTTATACACCTCCTGCATTTCCCTCTAAAGTATGTTAATATGGAGTCCCTAAGCGACATCAGAAAAATGCTTATATTCCATTTGAATATGCTCTCTAACAGAGTAATAAGAAGTCTAGCTGAAGTTTCTTTATCCAGATGAACTTAGAAATTCATTCTGCAGACCACTTGTTGAAAATTAATAAATAAAACCACAAGGTGACAAAATCCTAAGTCAATGAATGTTCATTTAGATTCAGTATTTCCAGCATTTTGTTATCTGGGACATCAATTGTTTTCAAGAGTTATCAGGAGAGTTATCAAGAGGTGAATAGTTATTCTAGTTCACTATTCTTTCTAGTCAGACACTAGCTATTAAGCCATTTCTGGAAATAGCCTAATTGGATATTTAATTGAATTGCTCTCATAAAAGAATTAACATTAATATTACAATAGAAGTTATGGTATAATGCATGAACATCAGTGTCTTCATAGGATAACTTTGTAGTAATCTCCTTGTAGTAACATTATAGAAACCTCTGTCATATCCAGAAGGAAGAGGAAGTTTTACTGATATAAATGCAAAAGTAGTAATGTTATTATCCACACATACTTAGGTAATTAATAATCAGCACCATGTGTATTTTTTATAGAGGTAAAGCCAATAAAAAGAAGTTGTAGTAGATATTATGTGGATATAAAAGAAGGTTTTCCTTTTAGACCCAGGAAAAGTGCCTTAAGCAGAGGTCTCCGACCTTTTTGGCACCATTTTTCCAGGGATTGGGGCAGAGGAAGGTGTAGCTCAGGTGGTGATGCAAGTGAGGGGAGGGCTGTAAATACACATGAAGCTTTGTTTGCTTGTGAGCCTGCCGCTCACCTGCTCTATGCAGCCCCCCCCCTCCCAAGTTTTATGGAAGACTATTTTCCCACGCACGGGGTGGGGTGGAGTTGCGGAGGGGTGCCTAACAGGCCATGGACCAGTACTGGTCTGCGGCCCAGGTATTGGGGACCACAGCCTTAAAGCAATGGAACCCAGTGAGGGCACTCAGTAGATTTATGATAGAGCATTTTAAGTCCCTGCACTATGACAGGATGTCAGTAAAACTATACAGGTAAATGAAAAGTATTGTTTACCTCTGTTAACATCAGCAGAGTCATAACCATTCTCTAAGCTGTATTTCTAATATTAGAAAAGGCATTTATATAAAAAAAATTTGTAATTAAATAGTCAAATATATTTCTGCAGAACTTGCACAAAAACATATATGTGAAGTAGATATAATATACTTTATGTATTTAAATCATAAGATATAAAATTAAACAGTTTTTAAATTTCTTATAATAATTGTGAGTAATATATAAGACATACTCAGGCTCAAGGAGTATTATTATTGGTCTATTTAATCGCTTAACTATATTTCTTCATCTAGTTCAGGAAATCATAACCTGTAGTCCATGGGCAAGCTTTAATGGGTCCATGGACCTCCAAAAATTGTAAAATTCCATGTGTATGTAAATTTTCCTGAGAAGATTTATAATTTTCATAAGATTTCCTCAGCTCTTTTTCCCCATCTAGAGGCTCTAAAAAGAGAAATGAAGGGATGATTATTCACTTTATGCAGAAGTATAAAAAAAAACTGTTGAATTTTTCACAGTGAGATCTAATAGCATATTTACATTTTGAATTGCTTATGAAAGATTAAATTTGCACTCAACCCTTCAAAATTATATCTTTTCATCAAAACATATTAAATATGTTATATATTAATAGTAGATAGTAAACATGTGTAAGAACTTGTTAAATGTGAGATGGATTAATTCTAATTCATGTTTATGTATTGGTGATCTGAACTGCAGATACTGAAATTAGTGCTGTGAGGGAAAGTAAACAGAGTGGAAGGGGAAAGCAATTTCCTCTAAAGATCACTAAGAAATTTTTTGAAAAAAAAACTAGTTCCATGCATAAACTATTATGCCTTATCAGAAGACTGACACAAAAATATAACTATCCAGACATAATTAAGATTGTGGATTTCTTAGTCCATGTTACCTTGAAGGAAATGAATACATAGTAAAAAATGTTGCTGCCCTCTTCAGCTTGTGTGTGAGTGTGCACTTGTAATTGTGGATTGGTAAGTGAGTGTGGTTGTAAAGCATGATTAAAGTGATTTGTATGAGAGAAAAAAAATATGTTGTAGGCTTATGTCTTGCCATTATTATTTTAAATTAAACTTAGAATGAAATCAATTAGTTAAATCTGTCTAAATATAAAACTAAAATAAAAGATAGGAAAAATGTAGTCAAAGGAAAATGTAGCATTGGCTCTATTTCATGGACCCTTTTACCCAGAGAAAACAGACTCCCCATTTTATTTGTGTCGTGTATAGCAGGATTGAGAAAAAAGGAAAACAATAGCAATTGTTGTTAACTGAAAACGATCTATACAAAATGGCCCAGTAATCATATATGAAACATTGCCTTTTTGGAGAAGCCATAAATACTTACTTATAGAAAACTATAGCACTTCAATTATTTATCTATCTATTTATCTTTGGGTCCAAAGATACTCAAGGAATAGAGAATAGAAAGGTGGTACACATTGTCTGATCCTTTTTGCTTCTGCAAACAACTTCTAATCATGGGATCATACTGACTGTGTAATTTTCACTTTTTTTCCCCAAAGTTGCCTTTTTTTATAATTTTTATTTCAAAATATTAAGAGGGTACAAGTGCTTTTGTTACGTGGATGAATTGTATCTGTTCACTTTTGAAATATTTCTATTAATCTTTCTATAGCACAGAGATTATTTTTACAAGAGCAAACTTTCTTCAAACAATATTGTTCTGGAAATTTAATATATAAAATTGAAGATGAAGATAAATAAATAAACATTCTTTCTCATAGTACCAGCAAAAGCAAAAGATTTTGCTTTCTGAAATAGGTCACATTCAAGCCAGCCTCAGGATTCCAACATATTTCGATAAATAAAATATGAAAGCATGCAAAAAAAAATGAAAATTCATATAAGAAAACAAGCCATAATAAGAGAGAATCAAGAGGGTAGAAAACAAAACAATACAATTCAAGTCCAGAATAGTTCAGAGAGTTTAATCATTGGAATAAGGATAAAAATAACTATGTACAAATCATTAGGGAAATAAGAGAGGAAATGATAAAAATGAGTCAAAAAATGTACCATAAAAATGAGACAGTTTTGAAAAAAAGAGGAATAGTTATAAATGATAAACATAATCATTGAAAATAAAAACTCGATAGATGGGCTAAACAACGCATTAGAGAAAGATTAGGGAAATAATTAGATATGAGGATATCACTATATTTTAGCACAGAGAATCTAGGAAAAATTGTGAAAAAGAGACTAAGACATTAAGAATATAATGAGAAATTAGTATTTGTCAAATTGGATTACCAGAAGAAACATTAGAGAAAGTGAGAGAGAAATAATTCTCAAAAAGATAATGATTACAAATTTGCGGGAATTAGTGACAAATATGATTTTTCATATTTAGGAATCACAATTAAACACATAAAAAATAAGTAAAAACAAATAAAACTATAGAGCATTGAAGACAAATAGAAGATTATAAGAGCAACAATAGAGAAAAAAAATTCTTTTTCCTTAATTTGCAGAGATGTAACAGTACACTGACAGCAGACTAGTCAGCAGCAACAGTAAAATTTAGAAGATAATTGGGGAGCCTGCCTCCAAAATGGCCCCCAGTTATTCTGCCTTTCTGATGTACCAACCCTCGTGTAATTTCTTTCAGACTTAGATTAGTCTATGTCCCAGCAGAAGTGACTGTATGTGATTTCTCAGGCTAGGTTGTAAAACATTCTAGCATTCTTCTGGGAACACCTACAGGAGGAGGAAATGAGGCCTTCTACCAACCGACCAGCACCAGTTTCCCAGTTATCTGAGTGTGCCCTCTCAGGAGCAGAGCCTGTAGCTGCAGTTAAGCTTGCAGATGGCTGCATCACTAGCTGACACTCATTATTTCTTTCCAGAGAGACCCTGATGAAGAACCATTTAGCAAGACCACTC